AAAAATCTAAAAACAAATGCATTTGTCCTCCACCCTTTGTTAGTCTAAGGGAGTTTTGAGTGCCGTGTATGCGTTAACTGAATCTTTCCAAGGAACACATTTCAGGAAACATGGATTGAAAAGAGTGGTTGAAGGCAGTCAGCAAGATTTTACCAAATAATGTTCTCAGTAGAGCTCCTCCTTGTACCTCCCCTTACCCCTACCCTCTGGATACAGACCCCCAATGGCTTTTTACTCAGAGGCCAAGGAACACAGATGGTTACACTGAGGGCCGATTAACCTGGAAACAGACATAGGGAATAAATGCACTCATCCATTCATTTATTGGCCAAGCTTGGGCTAAAAATAATGGGTGCATAATCATCCCTCCCTTCTTCCCTCCACCTGCCTGACTTATTTCAGCCACTGGAACTAAGGCTGCATCTTCCAAGGGGCCTTGCCCAGCCCAGACGCTTGTGGCTTGCTGGCCAGCCCTCGGAGCAGTGCTCCAGTGGCCCTTTTGTCATGCCTGCCAACAGGAAACGGATCCAAGAGCGATGTCAAGCCACCTGTCGGGAAGCTGGCAGGCTGGGCACTGTGCCTAGGCCGGGCCCTCCCAACTTAGAGAGCCATAGCAAGGCTGATGGTGTGAAGAGGCCTGGATGCAAAAGGGACACCCGGTGCTTTGACTTCAGGGTGTCTCCTCCCTTGACATCACTCGGTGTGCAGCCAAGAAGTCCCTGAGCTGGGTCTTGGGGAGGAGCTTCTCCTCTGGCCGGTGCAGGCCCCTCTTCAGCTACCTCCCCAAATTGCCTGCAGCTGTTGAGTTGGATGTGATGTCTGACATAGTGAAATGGCTTCTGGTGCTTCTAAAATACACCTCTCATAAAATGACAAATTATGTGTAGGAAGGTGGGGGGGATGGCGGCATCAAAAACTTCTTGAAAAAGTGGAATTAAATGGTACCGGTTCATAGAAAGTCAAGTTGTTCTGCTATGGCTCCCAATATCAGTGTCTGAAATGCCATTACGTTTCACACCTCTTACACACAGGGGGTCCTCTATTAGGTCCCGTGGCCACGCTTTGATGTAAGCACAGAATGCTTCCAAAAAGAAAAAGGTTTACTTAAAAAGCATCTCCACCTAGTAAACTACATATCATACATAACTCTGCATTTGTAGAATTTGAAGTTTCCTAAATGAACTCTTAAGGAATTTCCTGAATGTGCATTCTGCAATCAGGTTTTTCACACATAACAGAATAGAACATACACACTAAGCTATAAGTTCATTACCTAAAACAAGCGGGAAAGTAAATCTAAGATGAACTGTATATTCTTGGAATTGTTCTCAGAATTGTGGGCATTTATTCTTAGGCTTAAATTAAAATAATCCAGAGTGGTATTAATATTTTGAAATTAAAAAATAAACCATGAAATACTCAAAGTGCTTTGGGGCAGAGGCTCCATCGATTCTACCACTGTCATGTTTCAGGGCTGTCTGATGCTGGGATACTGCCAGGTTTCCATCGTGTAGGGCGTGAGAGTGTTGGTCACGGAGCATCTCTGCATGATCTCAGCCCAGCATTTGGTCATTTTCGGTCCCATTCATTTCTGGTCATAGGTCGAGGAAACTAAAAGGCCATTCTCAAACACATTTTCTGTTAGTGGTTCCATGGCAAATAGTGTAAATAAATAACCTAAAAATGGAAGGGAGAAAAGATAAGAGAATTTTCCCATGATTCCTGGTGGTGTAGTGGGCTATACATTGGGCTGCTAACTGCAGGGTCAGCAGTTCGAATCCACTGGCCAGTCAGAGGGAGAAAGATGGGGCTTTCTATTCTTATTAAAGGTTAGTCTTGATTTTTTAAAATGGATTCTTTTGAATAGATGTAGGAAAACCTTAACAATATTCTTCATGAGTAAGATGAAGCTGGTCCTAATCTTCAGAGTGTACAGAACCCCAAGCTTTCATCTGAGAGCTTTATTCTTGTTACATTTACTTTTTATTTGTTGTTGTTGTTGTTAAGTGCTAGAAATAATACTGGCAAAAAATTAAGTCTGTTTCTCCAGGATTTGAAAACCCTGAGGGATTCTTGGTGGGAGCTGGAAGAAGTGTTCACCCAGGGATACGGGTTTGTCTCCAGGTGTGACAACAACGACATTTTTCTAAGTCCCTGTGGTCACTGCCCTTCTACTCAAGGCCATGTCACTCACCTGTCAGCTGGCATTGAGAACCGCCGTGGTCAGCCACCCTGGGACAATGCATCGAGCTCTTTCATGCCACTTTAATATTTTACATAAACAGATAAAGTTTGCGTTCCGGTCCATTATCAGAGATCGATGGAATACCATTGCTGCTTCTCAGTCTATCTGTTCTCATGTTGAACGTCTGTTGCTGTTTTGCTTAATGAGGCAAAGCGTGCTGTCCAAGGTCACACAGCTTGTTCTGGGGTTAGAACTCAGGCAGTCTGGTGGCCCTGTCTGTGCTCTCACTAATTCCACGACTCACTGTTGTACTTTGAGTGCCTAAGACAGTGCCTGGCAGTCTTCAGTAAATATGGCTTGAATGATTTTCCAGGGGCTTCAAGAAGCTTATGGAAAAAGGGAATGAAAAGATAATGGGATGCTTCCACAAATGTTTAAAGCCCCCTTGTATGTTGGAGAGAACTGACACCCCATGCCAGGAATCCAACCCTAGGCACATGGGCTCCCTGATTCAGAGCCCCAAATTGGTTCTGGGAAAGTAGCAGCCTCCCCACTCCCAGCACCCTGCTTGTCTCAGGAGAGCTGGAACGCTCCCGTCACCACGTGGGCTGTCTGCACCTGGCACTGCCATCCCACTGGCTGACCAGTGATTGCTAAATGTTCCCTAGCCTCTCCTGTGTTTGGGGACCTCTGGAGGGCAGGGTCTGTGTTGAGCTCGAGTTTTGTTCACCACGGCTGGCACCAATGGTTGTCGTCACTGTTATAACTCGTACGTGTTATTAAAGTGCCCGAGTGAGCAGTGGTGTTGTCAAAGGCGGCCCGAGTCTCAGCCAGCGATGACCATAGCAGAACTCAGCACCTGTGCTCAGCCCAGGACCAGGAGCTGACCTCAAACATGAGAGAATCAAGGGTCACCTTACCTGAAGGGTCACTGCTGAAGGAGCCAGTTCATCCTTAGGGCCACTGTGCCATCCTTGGGCTTCTCATGCTGGCTGGAGGTGCTGTGGGACCACAGGAGTGCAGAGACAACACTCAGTCCCCAGCACAATGGAGGCACCACCGGGTTTTTGAACCCAGACGCAGAAAGCCTGATGACCTGATAAAACTGTGTTCCTTGTTCTGGAAGACAAGGATCCAGCAACAAAATAAAAATCCACTTCCCTTGAGTGGATTCTCAGAGACGGAATCTTTATGCCTACAGACACAGTCTCACCTTTCCCCTAAGGGGTGGTGGCTGGTAGGTTTGAACCATTGACCTATCAGTTAGTAGCCCACAGTGTAGTCCCAGCATTTCCAGGACTTAACAGACAAGGCAGGAGCCATGCTTGTGGTAGAAGGATAAGCTTTGCTTCAAACCAATAAACCGCTAGTTGCCAACGAGTCCCTTCCAACGCATAGTGATCACCTACAAGACAGCAAAACAGAGAGGAGTAGATGCTGTTCTTAGGCACCGTCAAGAGTGACCTTATGTCCAACAGAACAAACACTGTCCTATCCCGTGCCATCCTCACAATTGTTCTTATGTTGAGCCCATTGTTGCAGCCACTGTGTCAACCCATCTGGTTGAAGGCCTTCCTATTTTCATTCCCCGCTGCCCCTCTGCTTTATCAAACATGATGCCCTTCTCCAGGGCTGATCTCTCCTGATACCGTGGCCAAAGTAGGTGAGATGAGGTTTCCTCTTCCTTGTCTGTAAGGAGCCTTCTGGTTGTACTTCTTCCAAGACACACCTATTTGTTCTTTTGGCAGTCTGTGGTATTTTCAATATTCTTTGCCAACACCATAGCTAAAATGCATTGGTCTTCCTTTGCTTTTCTTTATGCAATATCTAACTTTCACCCGCATATGATTCAACTGAAAATACCGAGGCCTGGGTCAGGTGCACCTTAACTTAGTCTTTCAACTTGCTTTCAACACTTTTAGAGGTCATGTGTAGCAGATTTACACAATACAATGCATAGTTTGGTCTTTTGACTGCTTCTTCTATGAACATCGATTATGGACTGGGAGTAGATAACCTTTTCTTTTCCCCCTCAGAACAACTGGTAGATTCGAACCCCTGACCTGTGGTTAGCAGCTCATTGTGTAGCCCCCGACACCACTAGGCCTCCTTGAGTTTTATTTTGCCTGCGTCAATATTCTGGGTTTACTTGGTCACCAAGGGCAAGCATGTGGAAGTGGTAATCTGTAGAGCAGGGAGGTGAGACTGAGCATGCAAACCTGGCCACCGTTCTCTCTAATTCACTCATCCGCTCGTAACGCCCAGAGCAGCGTTGGAAACATTCTTGATCGTGCTGCTGGTGAGGTCCGGATGGTAAACAACATGGGTACCGCGTAGTCACCTTTACAGTGAACGTTTTACAACCGCTCATAGGCTCTTCTTTATGTTTTTCCCACCCACTGATTCCATTGAACTAATCCTACGTGTTGTCTGCTTTATTTCAGAAAAACTGTACAACTCCAGCGGACGAGATTTAAGAAGGGCCCTTTTCTCCCTGAAGCAGATATTTCAGGTAAAAAGGAAGAAAACGTGAAAAAGAGTACCTGCCAACCTTGCTTTGATAGCACTTGTGAAATTCAGTGCCGACAAGTCTGTCATACCTTTTGCCCCGCACACAGAGGAAAATCTCGCCAGATGATCAGATAGGTTAGGTCCGAATAGCGGCTGACTGTGTTTTGCCATAGCAAATATTTCAAACATAATAAAAAGGGAAGACAACATTACTAA